TATTTTTACAAATTGGTCAAAAGACTGTACAACTCTTGAAAGTGGGAAGGAAAGGAGAAGCAAGCAAAGAAGGTTAGTGAGGTAGGAGGAAGACCAGGACTGCTTGGTTTCACAAGAGTCAAGAGAAAAACATGTTTCAAGAAGGAGGGAGAGGCTACCTTGTCAAATGTACCTGAGAGCTTGAGTAGGATAAGATTTTAAAATGGTAGACCCAGCCGGGTGCAGTGGCTCATGCCTGTAATGCCAGTACTTTGCCGCGGTGAGTGGATCACCTGAGGTCAGGAGTTCGAGACCAGTCTGGTCAACATGGCAAAACCCCATGTCTACTAAAAATACACAAAATTAGCCAGGCGTGGTGGCTGGTGCCTGTAGTCCCAGCTACTTGGGAGGCTGAGACATCAGAATCGCTTGAACCCAGGAGGTGGAGGTTGCAGTGAGCTGACCTTGCACCGCTCTACTCCAGCCTGGGTGACAGAGTGAGACTCTTTCTCAAAAAAACCAAAAAATTTAACGGCAACAACAAAACAAAATAAAATGGTGGAATCTGTATTATTATAAGTAATCTAATAGGATATAGCAGGCCTTTGTGGGCTGAATAGGGACTGACCTATTAACTATTTATAACATTGGAAAATATATTAAGAATTTCAAATGACAAATTGACATAATTACTTAGAATTTTCAGGTGCAGCCTAATTTTTATTAGCCTGCATATTTTTTAAGGCTTTATTTTCCCCAAATTATTTTTAAGGTCATTCCCTTACTTTTTAAAGTAAGCAGTCCTTGTCTTCCTCCTACTTCATTGACCTTCTTTGCTTCTCCTTTCCTTCTCACTTTCATGAGTTCTATAGTCTTCTGCCCAATTTTTAAGTGGTTTTGAACACTCCGTATCATTAGACTTTTACCAGTATCAGTATTGGGCAAGCTTGTAGAACACATAAAGGTTACGCTTACTTAAAATATGTAAGTATGATTTCCTATGATTGAATGCATCCAGCTTTCCTCCTAAAAGTCTTTTTTTTTTTTTGTCTTATTAATTTTTTAAGTGGGAAAACATGTAAACTTGGTAAAATCAAACAGTATGCAAGAGGAGAAAGTGTCCCTTCCACTTGAGATCCCTCGTTTTGCATTCTGTTTCCCTAGCAGTATCATCTCCCTAGAGTTTCTGGTGTGTCTTTCTAGAAGTAGAATTTGCATATATGTGCATATAGGTGTATGTTATCTTTATATTAAAGCAGAGTGCAACAACAAAGTATTCTTTCTGCATCTGTCTTTTTTTTTTAACTTAAAAATATATTTTGGGGATTGTTCTGTGTTAGCACATTTAGACTTATCTCATGCTTCTTCATGGCTGAAAGTGTTGTGTTGTGTGAATGTGCTGTAATTTACCAGCCACCCAATTGATGGTTATTAGCTTGTTTCTGGTTTCTGTTATTTAAGAACATCACTGCAATGCATAGTGATAAATATTGCTAACTTGCCTTTTAGTGTCTATGTTTTAAAAGTTTTCCTCAAGTTATAGAACTTAAAAACTCACACTTATCCCCTTATTTTACTCCACTTTTCCATTCAGCTAGTCTTTTACTCCTTATGTTTTATCCCTATAATAATATTAGCCAGGGATTTATATAAACATTTACTCATAACTCAGTAAGGGAATAGATACTATTGCTGTCCCTTTTTTATAGTTAAGGAAGCTGGGGTACCCAGGACAAGACCTTGTCCAAGGACATATGGCTAGCAAGGGACAGAGCTAGGATTTAGACCCAGGCAATGTGGTTCAAAAGTCTATGCATCATGCTGCACTCCCCTCTGCTTCCTGTCCTTCCCAGTTACTTTTGTTACTAGTACTGTAATTCAGGCCCTCACTGCCGTGAACTGGACTACACTAAAAATGTTTTTTTTTTTTGCTATTCCTAGTCTTACTTTCCTAACCCATTCTCTATATTGAAACAAGATAAATCTTCCTAATGCACAGCTATGGTTATGTTGCTTCCCAGATCAGAATCCTTCAGTAGCTTCGTGCTGCATTTAGAATCCAGCCCAATCTCATGCTCTTCCCTTTTATATTTGCTATATGTCCCTGCATTTGTTCCAAGCTTTATCTAGGATGTGAGCATTAAAGCGTCATAAGACATAATAAGACTAGTGAAGTGAAATTAGAAGTATTATGACTCGCAAAAAAATGAGGTAAGTGATCTTCGGAGTTGAAGGGTGTTTTTTCTTTGAGTTATTTCCCTTTTTACCCATAGTAGCTCCTGCCGTATGGTTTCATCAACAAACTGTCAACTCAATTAATTTCAGTCAGATGTGTAATCGATCAAATGCTAACCACAGATATTTTAGTGTCACATAAAACAAATTCCTTAAAACACACACATACACACAAACCTAAAACAGAAATATGTAATTTCTTTTTTTTTTTTTTTTTTGAGATGGAGTCTTGCTCTTGTCGCCCAGGTTGGAGTGCAGTGGCGCTGTCTTGGCTCACTGCAACGTCCACCTCCCGGGTTCAAGTGATTCTCCTGCCTCAGCCTCCCGAGTAGCTGGGATTACAGGTGCCCAACACCATGCCTGGCTAATTTTTGTATTTTTAGTAGTGACGGGGTATCACCATGTTCGCCGGGCTGGTCTCAAACTCCTGACCTCAAGTGATCTACCCACCTCAGCCTCCCAAAGTGCTGGGATTACAAGTGTGAGCCACTGCGCCTGGCCATATTATACTTTTTAAAGCACCTTTAAAAATATCAGATATTAGATATTAAAAATTTGCTAATTAGTGACTGTTATTTGCTTTTTTGCTGGATTTAGTCCAATATAAGCTTTTATATCCTTCCGTCAGATCTAGGTATTTTCTTGGAAGGCATTGCATTTGTCAACAGAAAATGACCTGAGAGAATGGAAAGTGAGTTCATAAAGAAAAGTTATGTCTTCACTTTTTTTTTTTTTTTTTTTTTGAGACTTAGTCTGGCTCTGTCCCCAGGCTGGGGTGCAGTGGTGCAATCTTGGCTCACTGCAACCTCTGCCTCCTGGGTTCAAGCAATTCTCCTGCCTCAGCCTCCTGAGTAGCTGGGATTACAGGCGTGCACGACCACGCATGGCTAATTTTTGTATTTTTAGTAGAGATGGGGGTTTTACCATGTTGGCCAGGCTGGTCTCGAACTCCTGACCTCAAGTGACCCACCTTCCTCAGCTTCCCAAAGTGCTGGGGATTACAGGCCTGAGCCACCAGCTCCAGCCGTGTCTTCACTTTCAAAATTAGTTACTTCTCTAGTTTTTGTTTGTTTGTTTGTTTTTTGTGTTTTTTTTGAGACAAGAGTCTTACTCTGTGACCCAGACTAGAGTGCAGTGGCACAATCTCAGCTCACTGAAACCTCTGCCTCCCAGGTTCAAGTGATTCTCCTGCCTCAGCCTCCCGAGTAGCTGGGATTACAGGGACCTGCCTCCACACCCAGCTATTTTAGTAGAGACAGGGTATCACCATGTTGGCCAGGCTGGTCTTGAACTCCTGACCTCAAGTGATCCGCCTGCCTCGGCCTCCCAAAATGCTGGGATTACAGGCCTGAGCCACCGCCCCTGGCCTCAGTTTATTTTTCTAAGTGGTGAAGTTTTGCTGGAGATAAAAAGGAAGGAGGGTAATAATACTCAATTAAGGAAAAACAATCTCTGGCTATAGTTAATATTTCAAGATAGGCACATTCACATTGATACATGTAAAGTACAAATGCAGGCAGGATTTTTGGTAAATCTTACAGAAAAAAAACCATGTACAGTAAAAAAAAAAAAAAAAAAAAGATTTTAAAATGAACTTTTATCTTTAAAATTTTTCCCCTTGTCTGAAACTTCTTAGAATCGTAAAATGTTAAAATTGAAAAAGACTGCTGGGCATGGTGGCTCATGTCTGTAATCTCAGGAGTTTGAGACTAGCCTAGGTAACGTGGTGAAACCCTGGCCACATCTCTACAAAAGAAACAAAAATTAGCCGAGTGTGATGGCACGTGCCTGTTGTCCCCCTGTTGGGAGACAGAAGCAGGAGGATTTCTTGAGTCCAGGAGTTCAAGACCAGCTTGGGCAACATGGCTAGACCCTGTGTCTACTTCTCCCATGCCCCGCCAAAAAAAAAAGAGTATTTATAAGTGCTAAGCATAGAGTAGATACTCAGTATATAAAGGTGTTTGGCATAGAGTGGATAATAAATGTTGGTTATCCTAAATTTAAAAGAAAGTTGCTTACTTAACAAGTAAGTCACTGTTAGCTCAAAGTGTGTCATTGTGAAATTTTAAAAAGATTCCTCTTCCAGGTAGACATAGTCCCATGGGTACATTGGAGAATAGAGTGAAGGCTGGATTTAGCCTCCCTTAGACACTTTACCTGGAGCTCTTGTGCAGTAAGCAATCTGTACAACTGTGCAGCGATTCCAAATACAGTATTAATTTGCTTCTCTTTTGAAATTCCTAGATTCTGAATTATATATAGGAGTAGGACTGTACCACATGTTGTAGCCACCTAAGTCAGAATTCTTGGATCATTTTCTCTGATTCAATAGTTCTAATTGTTAAATATTCATAATTGTTTTAGATATATCATTTTTGAATGTAATCTATTCCATATTGGCACCATCTTTTTTTTCTTCATTTCAGTTTTTATTTAATTTTTATACCTTTTACTTTGAGAACTGTAGATTCATTTGCAGTTTTAAGAAATAATATTCGCTGGGTTCTGTGGCTCATGCCTGTGATCCCAGCACTTGGGAGACCGAGGCAGGCGAATCATTTGAGCCTAGGAGTTTGAGACCAGCCTGGGCAACATGGTGAGACCCTATCTCTACAAAAAACACAAAAATTAGCCAGTTGTGGTGGCACACACCTGTAGTCCCAGCTACTTGGGAGGCTGAGGTAGGAGGATTGTTTGAGCCCAGGAGGTGGAGGTTGCATTGAGCCAAGATCATGCCACTGCACTCCAGCCTGGGCGACAGAGCGAGACTCCGTCTCAAAAAAAAAAAAAAAAAAGGGAAAATAAATAATACTGAGAGATCCATATACCCTTCCCCAGGCAATTTCTTGGAATGATAGCATCCTGTTACTATTGTACAATAACACAACTAGGAAATTGACTTTGATACCATCCAGTGACCTTACTCAGATTTCATCAGTTTTACATGTACTTGTGTGTGTGTGTGTGTGTGTGTGTGTGTATCATATGCTGTACAATTTTATTTCATGTTAGATTCGTGTGGCCACCACAGTCAAGATACAGAACAGTTCCATCACAAGGCTCCCTGGTGGTACCCTGATACAGCCACAGCCACCTTCTCTGGCAAACCCCTGGTGACCACTAATCTGTTCTCTAAAATTTTGGCATTTCAAGAATGTTATGTGAGTAAAATCATACAGTATGTAACCTTTTGACACTTTTTTTTTCCCTATTGGTTGCATGAATCAGTAGTTCATGGTTGTACCACAGGTTTAACCATTCATTTCGCTGAAGGACATTGGGATTGTTTCCATGTTTTGGCTATTGTGAATAAAGCTGTTAGGAACGTTTGTGTACAGGTTTTTGTGTGGACGTAAGTTTTCATTTATCTGTGGTAAATAGCCAAGAATGTAATTGTTGAGTTGTATGGTAAACATATGTTTAGCTTTGTAGGAAACTGCCATACCGTCTCTCAGAGTATGTGTGTATCATGTTACATTCCTCCCAGCAAGGTATAACTCATCCAGGTCCTCTGCATCCTTGCCACCATGACCAGTCTTGATAAAACACTTTGGCAACTACTGTTAACTAGTCTCTCTCATTTTAAGAAAATCAGAGCTGACTGACTTCTTACATGTGTCTTCAGGTTCTCTAGAATGAGACCTTTGGTTACTTATATCAGTTTGACTTGGCAATTGGCCCTTAAATATTTGGAGGAATTCACCAGTGAAGCCATCTAGTATTCTTAAATCTTTTATACAATACTTCAATTTATATTTTTCCATCAATATCTATATTAATCATTTTCTATGTCCTTCATCTGAATAAGACAGATACTTTAATGTTCTTCTGGTTTTCCTTCTCTCAGCCTCTCTTCCTACCCTTATAAATATTCCTGTTGATAGCATCTGAGATTATAGTTTTGAATGTTAGTAATGTTTTTTCCCCAGTCAGTGCATATTTAGACTTAAAGGTTTTGCTGGTTTCTCTGCTTACTCTTTTCTTACGCCTTGTTTGTTATTCTTCCATTAATTTTTTAAAAAAACAATCCAGATATATATCTTTGAGTAATTCTTTCATCAGAAGTCTGAAGGAAGCAAAGTTTTTGGATCCTTGCATATAAAAAAAGTCTTTATTTCACTCTCCTTCTTGAGCAGGAGTTGGAGTAGGCATAGAATTCTAAATGTAAAACTATATCCAAGTGTCCCAGGACAATTCGTTGAAAAGACTATTTATTCCCCACTGAATAGCCTTGTCACCCTTGTCAAAAAAATCCATTGACTATGGATGTTAGGGTTTACTTTTGGACTCTCAATTCCATTCATTTAATCTGTATGTCCATCCATATGCCAGTACCACAGTTTTTGAATACTGTATCTTTGCAGAAAGTTTTGAAATTAGGAAGTATGAGTCTTCTTTCACTTCTTTTTCAAGATTGTTTTGGTATTCTGGGTTTCTTGCTTTTTTCCCTCTGAAGTATAGGATTAGCTTGTTCATTTTGGCAAAACAAACAAAAAGGTAGTTGAAATTTTAATATTGTTCGATTCTCTTTTGTGTCTTAACTTTTTAATATACTTTTCTATAATACTTCTTCATGCTTGGGTCTTAGTTTTATGCTCATTCATCTTTATCTGTGAGTCCTAGTTAGCCTTGCTGTGAGTGTTACGTCTGTTTATTGCAGCAGGTCTCCATGGATTGTGGATAGGGATGGAATAAGCAATGAGATGAAGTGTAGTAGTTGCCAGGTTTCTTCAGTGTGACTGTCCCCTCTTCTACCTGGGTGTTAATATCCCCACATACCCAAGACTGGGTAATTTATAAAGAAAAGAGGTTTAATTGACTCACAGTTCTACGTGACTAGAGAGACCTCACAATCATGGCCAAAGGCAAATGAGGAGCAAAGCCACGTCTTACATGGTGGCAGGCAAGAAAGCTTGTACAGGGGGACTCCCATTTATAAAGCCATCAGATCTCAAGAGATTTATTCTCTTGAGAACAGTATGGGGGAAACTGCCCCCATTATTCAATTATTTCCACCTGGCTCTGCCCTTGACATGTAGGGATTATTACAATTCAAGGTGAGATTTAGGTGAAGAGACAGCCAAACCATATCATACAATATACTATATTATATAAATTTATCAGTTGATACAAATTGAGCTAAAAGTCTAAAGGGATACAAGAGTAAAATAAAATGCATTTAAATAATTAAAAAAAAAATATCCCCACAGGGTTCTACCTTCTCTCTCTGATCCCAGTGTTCACACTCATTGTTCTAGCTAGAGAGTGACACCTTTGTTGTTTTTGCCACTGTTCCCATCTGGGAACAAACACCTCTGTTCTATAGTGCTTGACTCAAAGAGGTAAATGGCTGGGAGGGGTTAACCTGCTATGTAACTTCTGTGCTATGCTCCAATCACTTAGGCTGTAAATGTTTAAAATGGTTTCACTTCTTCCTGCTGTCTTTTACCTTGGGGTTGAGTTGACTCTGAGAGTTGGTCCCTCCACTTGCCCTGGTCCTCTGCTCTTAGTGTCTTAGTTGACTCTGAGAGTTGGTCCCTCTGCTTGACCTGGTCCTCTGCTCTTGGTGTGTAGGACTGTGGTGTTTTCTTTAGTCTGATTATACCCACTTTTCATCGTCCAGTGATTCCTCATAGTATTAGTCCACTAAGGGCATTTCTTGTTTTCTTGTAATTATGGTTTTTTTTTTTTTAAATGACTTTTTTTGTTATTTGGGAGATTTTAGGGGAAGGTGAGCTTGCTCACAGTGTGCTCAGCCTACCATTTTAATTCAGCCAATGACTATGTTACATTTATAGCAAAGTAAACATAGTAAAAAAGAGAAAAAAATTAAAAACTAGCAGAAAATAAAATATTGATGAAATCATTGAAGAAATTATTATTATTATTTTTGTGGAGACAGAGTCTCGCTCTGTCGCCCAGGCTGGAGTGCAGTGGCATGATCTTGGTTTACTGCAACTTCCCCCTCCTGGGCTCAAGCACTTCTCCTGCCTCAGCCTCCCGAGTAGCCAGGACTACAGGCGCATGACACCATGCCCAGCTAATTTTTTTTGTATTTTAGCAGAGACGGGGTTTCACCATGTTGGCCAGGCTGGTCTCGAACTCCTGACCTCAGGTGATCTGCCTGTCTCAGCCTCCCAAAGTGCTGGGATTACAGGTGTGAGCCACCACACCTGGCTTATGTTTTTGTTTTGAAGAGTCTAAGCTATCACTTAGGAAGGTTGGCACTTTGCATATATAAAAATTACAACTTCAATGAATGAAAGTTCAGACCAATAATATATTTATATGAAACTGGAGAGGCATATATTTATTTACAAATTTAATAAGTACATTTGTGTTGGCGTAACACTCTTATGTTGCTAGTTTCTCTTTTTTCTGCTCTTTGGGTGAAAGAATAAAACGGGTTCTGAAGTCAGTGCCTGCCTTGATTGAATAACCTCAGCAGAGTCAACAGGAGTCTATGCATACAAACTTATGCTGGTTGCTGAGAGAGAGACATGCCAAAGATGTTTGACAGAAGCCCTGAGAAAACATAAAAAGGGTTTTTTATTACAGTTTTGGTTTGTCAATTATTTTTGTGTTTTTGTTTTGTTTTGTTTTTGAGACAGAGTCTCGCTCTGTCGCCCAGGCTGGCTGGAGTGCAGTGGCGCGATCTCGGCTCACCACAGCCTCCGCCTCTTAGGTTCCAGCGATTCTCCTGTCTCAGCCTCCTGAGTAGCTGGATTTACCAGGCACCTGCCACCATGCCTGACTAATTTTCATATATTTTTAGTAGAGATGGGATTTTGACATGTTGGCCAGGCTGATCTCAAACTCCTGGCCTCAAGTGATCTGCCTGCCTTGGCCTCTTAAAGCTCTGGGATTACAGGCGTGAGCCACCATGCCAGGCCTGGTTTGGTAATTTTTAATGTTATTCCCTCAGTGTTACTCCAAAGTAGTTTTTTGTATTTTTCCATTGTAAAATCACATATCCTAGAATTTATGGATAACATAAAAGGGGTAATAACCTCAAGCCCAATCATAACCAGTGTTAAGACTTTGGTATGTTTCTTTCCAGTATTTTTTTATAATCACTTTTTTAAAAAATTAAAATAATACAGTATTGTTTTTCTTCCAGTCTAAAAGTAATGCCTACTCAGAGAGCTTGGAAAATAAAGACCATCATAAAGGGGAAAAAACAAAAATAATGTATTAGAACCATCCAAAGATAACTACAGTCAAATAAATTAATTTGATGTAATCTTTCCTGTATTTTTTCTGAATATATAAAAATACTTTTTTCTTTGCTAAAATGGTGTCATACTTAATACTACTTTGTACATTGTATTTTTCATTTGCAATATATTGTGAATGTTTTGTCATGTTAATAAATAGTTTTTTATATACTCTTTAGTGGTGTGTAGAATATGAGCATATTTAAGTATGTTTATTTAGCATACTTAATCATCCCCTGTCACTGGAAATTGAAAGTGTTTCTAATTTTTTACCATTATAAATAATACCATAGTTAATATCTTTGTCCATACATCTTTCCATGCATCTATGATTGTTTCTTTAGGAATAGATTCCTAGAAGTGGAATAGCTGGGTCAAAGGGTATGTACATTTTAACGCTTTTGATACATAAAAATGTCAAATTTTAAGCTAATCACTTGTTATATTATGTCTTGTATTGCTAATTGTTTTATGTGTCTGTCTTGTCTCCCTAATTAGAATGTAAACTTAAGGGCAAGGGAGGTTTCTTATATATTTAATGTATCTTTTGACAGTGTGGTTTACAGTTTTGGACCCTGGAGTCATCTCAACACATTGATTTAAAACAATGGTTCTCTAGACTGTTGAATGTCATAAACCTGTACAGTAAAATATATATGTACTTATATTTATCCATATATGTATATTTAGAGTAGAGATGGGCTTGCATATTTTCAGTTTTTCCATGAGAGAATATTAAAAAGAAAACCAACTACCATTTTCTTATCAGCATCATTTCATAAAGTAGAGAATATTTAACAACAAAAAGGTTCTAATCTCTGAAAAAAGGGCAGGCCTTTAAACGGAACATTTTAGCTTTTTGAAAAACTTACTGCCTTGTCCATATTTTTCTCATTTTGTGTTGGACTGGTGAATCTTCACCTTAGCCTAGCAGTTGTCAGTAGACCAACATTAGGGAATCACTGATTTAAAAGACTTAGAGTATTAAAAGATAAATCCTTTTGCAAAATAAATAATTCTTCCCCTTGTCCATGAGTCTGTATTCTCTACAAAATTAAGTACAAATGTGCAAGTGATGCCATTTCATTATACAGAATTGGTATATATCTATGTACAAGTTCTGTAGTAAGCAAACTAGACCCTGCTGATGGACATCTGAATATATATTTCCAGTTGCCAAAAATAAAAACTGTTCTTTTTCTAGAGAATTTAAGATAGGATAAATATGGTGTAGTGGAAAGAGGCAAGTTTTTAGAGTCAGAAGGCCTCGCTTGAATCCTGGCTCTGGCATTAAGTCATTTAATTTTCCTTTAGCTTCCTTGCTTGAAACATTAGGATGATACTATCTTCTTCAAAGTGTTTTGGTAGCTCCTATTACAGCAGTTCCTTCACTATCATGTAATTATTTGTTTACACATCTGCCTTCCTCATGAGACCATGGGCTCCGAAGAGCAGGAGTCATGTCCTTGTTTTGCAATCTCAGGTCCTAGCATAGGGCTCCAGGCATAGCAGATGCTAAATAAAATGATTGTTGAATCAATACAGGATTGTTGTGAGAATTATATGAGGTAATATATGTGAAAGCTCTTTGTAAACCCTAAACATTATACAAGTGTTAATTGTTTTTATTGTCAATAACAGCTATCTTTGAGAGCTATCAAAACTTTGGGAAAAGAGAAAATTATCCCATTTAACAGTTCTATTAATTTATTAGGTTTTTCTTCTATTTTATAAGAAAACATATTTTAATTGAGGTTAACATGGAGGTAATTTGCTTCCTGGGAAGACAGATGAGCCCCTTCCCTCCTTTCCCCTGTTGAAGTGCTAAGATATTAAATGTTTGTTTAATTTAGTTGCTGTTTTAAAATTTAATTATAGTAGGGTCAGCTTATTTCATATTTAAAGAATGGTGCCCATTGCTTTATCTTCTTAACCATATAATTAATATAACCTTGAAGGGAACAGGAGCCTCTGTTATGTCCAGTTAGTTTCAGAGCTCCATTTTGAAATTAACTGACTTAAAAATGTCATCATTTCTAATCTGTTCATAAAGCTCCTGGTGAATTTTTGCCACAAGATGGCATTGGTGATTATTGAGTGCACATACTATTGAACCAGAATTCTGAAAAACAGTGCACAAAATTGTATTCTTTTGGGGGTAAGAGTTGAAAACCTTCATCACTGCTTATATGTTAATTTAATTTTGACTTCCAAAACAGGGTTAAATGCTACTTTACATCACTTTCTTTCTGCATTCAAGTATTGTTTTGTTTCCTGTTTTTCTGTCTTTATAACTACAGTGACTATGTATTATTTGCCATGTGTTGTATGTGTCTGACTTATTGCTGATAATTGTGGTAACAGGTAAGAAGAAAATACGATGGGACCCAGTTAGGAGGCGCTTCATTCAGTCCTGTCCCATCATAAGGATCCCTAACAGGTTTTTGAGAGGTGGGTGATAACTAGCAAGAGATCTGTGCTTCATATGGGTTAAAGGGAACTTTGAATGAATTTTCTAAACTCAAAACTCTGGTTTTTAAAAATCATCTAGCTAATGAAACAATTGGAATAAGAAAAATCTAGAACTTAATTTTAAACCTGTTGTTGGCCACAATTGGGCTTGTAAGTTTCAGGGAGTTAGAATCACTTACTGTATTATTAGATGGTAGAGATAAATCATCTCTCTGATAAAAATGGTATTCCACAGTAGCCATATTAGAAAGAATTTTGAGTGAATAATCTATAAAATATGGATGTGGGAAAGAATTTTCTAAATATGATTCTAAGGAAGAAGTAAAAGATTATGTGATGGTATAAACTAAAAAACCTCTTATGTCAAATGTCATATATTAAAAGATAAAAAAGAGAATTATTTGTAACAAAGGGGTAATATGAATATATAAAGAGTTCTTATAAACCAATAGGTTAAAAACAAATGCCCACTAGAAAAATAGGTAAAAGGATATAGAATTATCAGTTTGTTAAAAAGAAGTGCCAATAATTACGAACAAATATTTTTACTATTATTATAAACACAACAATTAAAACAATAAGATATTTTTACCTATTAGATGAGCAAAGACCAAAAATAAGAATACCCAGTGTTGGCAAGGGTATGGGAAGATAAAGCTCATATATTGAAGGAAGTGTAAATTTTATACAGCTTTTCTGAAACCAATTTGGTAATATGTATTAAAAACCTTAGAAATGTTCATACCCTTTGACCTAGCAGTTTTTACTTTTAGAAATGTTGCATTCCTTCTACTTTTTATTTTTTCTACTAAAACATACTCCATACTGAAAAAAGAAAATCTCAAAAGAGGTTTGAAAACTGATTCACACTATTTTTCTAGATACAACAAATTGTCACACAAGCCTACTTAATGTTGTAATTTAGACTATATTAAATTATTTACAACCCAGTGTATCTAATTTTAAGTGGAGTTTTTTTTTTTTTTTTTTTTTTTTTAACCTAGGAAAAAATCCTGCAACTGCTATAGATGTTTCTATATCTAGTTCCTAACCTATTTTTGGCACCCGAGCTCCAGATCATGCATAAAATCAGCCGTAAAATGGGTCAAGATAAGATCCTGAAGATGGTGTACCACCTTTTAGCATGAGTAAATTTTGTTAGAAAAAATTAAGGGCCAGGCTGGGTGGCTCATACCTGTAATCCCAGCTCTTTGGGAGGCCAAGGTGAGCAGATTGCTTGAGTCCAGGAGTTCAAGACCAGCCTGGACAACACGGTGAAACCCTGTCTCTATAAAAAGTACAAAAATTAGCCGGGCATGGTAGTGCACACTTACAGTCCCAGCTATTTGGGAGGCTGAGGTGGGAGGATCACTTGAGCCCAGGAGGCAGAGGTTGCAGTGAGCCATGATTGCGCCACTGCATTCCAGCCTGAGCGATAAAGTGAGACTTTTCTCAAAAAAAAAAGAAAAATATTAGGTGATTTTAGTATTATATGACAGGAAAGCCATTGTACACATGGCCAAGCAGGCATGTCTAATTCTATAGCATTTTTTCTTTTTTCTATTTATAAATTAGAATGCCAATTTCCCAGTTTCCAATGAGAAATCTAACTTGTGCTGAATAAAGCATAAATTAAACTTCATTTAATTATATTAATAATTATAATTATGCATACTAAATATAAGCATAATTAAGGAATTGTTTAGGATATATAATTCAACATAATGATATAGAACATGTAAACATAAAAAATAGTGACATAACAGGTTGTTTCTGTATGGTAGGGATTTTATTTTCTTTTGTATGGTGTTTGTTTTTCAATTTTTTGATTGTGGAAAAAAAGATTGCACAGGTAAGTTTTATAGCATTGGTTATTTTTAAGCCCTCAATAGCCTCAATCAGTGGTTGAGAAAGGTGGCCCCTGACAGTACTGGAATTGAGGTGGGAGTTAACTCAGCATCAGCAACATCAGGATCACTAGTGGCCTTCTTTTAGTTCTCACCTTCTTTAACCTCTAAGTAGTGTTTGAGGCTGTTGACTACTTGCCCTTCTTAAATTTTTCTATTTTTTTGGGTTGCTGTACTGTATAGTTCTAGATGTTTTCTTCCTGCCTCTTTGATTGTTCATTCTGTTTCCTTCACTAGCTTCTTTCTTCCTGCCCCCTCAAGGTGGGTATTGCTCCAGTGTTCTGTCCTCTCCATTATCTCCTTTAGTTGTCTCATCAACTTTCACAGGCTTAACTCTCTTCGTTTGTTTGTTCGTTCATTCTGTCATTCTTTCAGTATTTCTTGATTGCTTCCTATGTACTGTGCTAGCCTGATGATCTGAGTAATAGAGAATCAGGTAAACAGACAATTACAGAACAATTTGAGTATAATTATTTGTGGTAAGTGTTCGGATGAGGTAGCATGCTATGGGAGCACACAGGAGAGGTACCTGACTCAACTTGGCTGGAGGAGGGTGACAGAGGAGTGGCCATGAGGATGACATCAGAAGGAATGTGCTTAAAGGCTGAGTAGGTATCAGCAAAGGAGGGTTGGATCCTCTCAAACCGTGGGGATCAGGCAGCTTGAGTAAAGGCATTTAAGCAAAACAGGACATGGTGCTTTTAGAGATCTAGAAAGTTCAGCACAGTGGGAAAGGGGTGGACAAAAGAGGCTGGAGAGGGCCCAGACCAAGTGGGCACCACCCAAGTGGGGTTTTCAGGATCAGATTTGGTTTTTTAGCTAGTGAAGAAATTTAATTAAAGGCTAGTTATGAGATTATTAGTTATCAGTATGCAAAATGATGGAGGCTGAAATGAGGTAGTTGTAACAGGAATGGAGAGTAGGGGCCGGGCATGGTGGCCTGCACCTGCAATCCTAGCAGAGTGAAACCCTGTCTCTCTAGATACACACGCACGCACGCACGTACAATTAGCCAGGTGTGGTGGGGGCATGCCTGTAGTCCCAGCTACTCGGGAGGCTGAGGCAGGAGGATTGCTTGCACCTAGGAGTTCGAGGCTGCAGTGAGCTATAATCATGCCACTGCATTCCAGTCTGGGTGAAAGAGCGAGGCCCTGTCTCATTAAAAAAGAAAAAAAAAAAAAAAAAAGTAGAGAATTGATTTGACATATAAGGAAGTGGAAATGAAATTAGATGTAGATTTTAGACAAAGGATAGTAAATTCAGTTTAGTTTCTTCAACCAACCAATAATAGCATTAATAGCATATCCTTTAACACTTGGTCCAAGAGTATTTCCAGGGAATCTTCCTTGGCAGGCCTCTCCCCTCTTTGTTCTGATGGCAGCCTCCGTGTACCTACCTATATCATAGCACTTATTGCACTGACTTGTAGTTGTTTACTTGGCTGTGCCTCCCGTTAGACTGTAAGCTCTGTAAGGGCAGGGACAATCGGACAGTGCCTTTCATATCTTTACTCCAGTTTGTAGGATAGTGCATGTAGCAGTTATATCATATGTATTTGAGTTGAATTAAAGTATTGTAAAGGCCACTGTCAGAAAATAGGATGGGACTAACATTTTATTTTGTTCTCGACTTCTCTCTGGTATTGGTGACAGTGAACTAATGAATTGTTGAGAACATGAAAATGCTATTGTTTAATGCTTCAATAGGTTGCCTGGTTTTGTTTGTTTGTTTTTAATTATACTTTTGAAATAGCCACTTTCAAGCCTCATATTTTGGAATTCTTTGTATCACCTCTCTTGGTTCAGATTGTAGACAGTTTATGTCATAGGGCCCATTTTCTGTCACTAGATTCCTTCACTAGGTCCTACATCTTCTCTAAAACATATTTCTACCAATTAAAATTGTGGTGTAGTGAAAACAGTAATGGTGTAATGAAAACAATGGTTTTTATTATAAAATGGCAGACTTAACATACCCATTTACCTTCCCCTACTTCTCAGATGTCATTGGAAATGACAAAACAAACATAAGACAGAGAATAAATCATTGTAATTAAAAAAAAAAAAAGAAAAAGAAAAGGGAGACTTTGAAACTAGATTACTTGTGTCTGAATCCAGGCTTTGCCCTTTAGCATGACCTTGGGCAAGTTGCTTATTCTTTTTTTGCCTCAGTTGCCTCATATGTAAAATTAGAATGATGATAATAGTATCTGCCTCCTAGAGTTACTATGAAGATCAAGAGAGACAGTATGTACAGAGCACTTAGGAGAGTTTATTTACATATAGCAAATGTTGAATTAATGTTCGCTATCATTATTGTTATTGTTATAATGCCAGAAGTTTTTAGAAATTTTAGGGTACTGGAAAACAATTATATCGATGGAGGAACCATCACAGAATAAAGTGCAACCCAGAATAGATGCTCCTGTTGCATGGTAGAGGTCAGAGAGTGTCTTAATAGGGCTCTTTTCTTAAACTCTAAGCATAGAGGCAGCAAGTATAGGAACATGGAGCAGTTTGGGGGGAAAGTGGAATATCAGGGCAGGTAATGAAAAAGTTGCCTTCAAAACAGTTACTTCCCCTACTCCTTCTCTCCCTTCATATAAAGCGCCCTAGCAGTGGCATTAGTTCCAGGATAAGGCCATGAGAACAGTTCAAGGAAAGTAGATTTGCCTTGGGGAAGATTGGGCAGGCACTGGATTAAGACTGGAGGAAGGTGGCCAGGCGTGGTGGCTCACGCCTGTAATCCCAGCACTTTGGGAGGCTGAGGTGGGCGGATCATGAGGTCAGGAGATCGAGACCATCCTAGCTAACATGGTGAAACCCCATCTCTACTAAAAATACAAAAAATTAGCTGGGCATGGTGGCGGGTGCCTGTGGTCCCAGCTACTCGGGAAGCTGAGGCAGGAGAATGGCGTGAACCCGGGAGGCGGAGCTTGCAGTGAGTCAAGATCGCGCCACTGCACTCCAGCCTGGGCAACAGAGCAAGACTCCGTCTCAAAAAAAAAAAAAAAGATACTGGAGGAAGAGTGCACAAAGCAGAGCCTTAGCGAATGGACTTCTGTAGTAGATG